TCTGGATTACAACAGATTACTAAGGGTCGTAACTGGGTAGCTTTGTAGTAGTCAGACAAGCAAGGCAATGATCTTCCCCCTTTCTCCTTAGACAGTTGCAATGTTTTATATTTAACTCTAGGTCCCCTGCCCCTCCATAAAAATCTTGAAATCCACTTGTCCCATTCTCTAAACTGTTTTGATGAAATTTCGATTGGTAGGGATTGGAAGAGGTATAGAAGACGAGGAACTATATTAATTTTTATTGTCTCTATTCTATTGTGCATCTCTAAAGGCAACTGGGACCACCTATCTATGTCAGATTTTATACTCTTATTTATAGGGCCATAATTACTATCAAATAATTGTGTAGAATCTTTAGTTATTTTAATACCCAAGTACTTAAAACTTGTTGAATTCCATTTGAAATTAAATTTATTTTGCATATCTTTCTGAGGGAAATAATTAAAGCTTAAAATTTGTGTTTTTGGATGTTTAGCTTGTAACCAGAGTAGGTGCCAAATTTATTTAAAACTGACATCAGATTAGGAATGCTAACTTCTGGTGTTCCAACAAACAATTATCTGCATACAGACAGATCTTTTGCTCTGAACCTTTAACTGTTATTCCTTTAATTCCCGGTTCGTCTCTTATTAACTGTGCCAAAGGCTCAATAAATAAAGCAAAAAGGGTTGGACTGAGGGGGCAACCTTGACGACAGCCTCTTTCCAAAACAAAACTTTTGGTAAGATGACCATTAATCCTAATTTTTGCATTTGGTGATGAATATAATTATTTTTTACATCTAATAAAGTTATCATTAAAGCCAAATCTTGTCAGTGCTAAATATAAATACTCCCAACGAACTGAGTCAAATGCCTTTTCCGCATCTAAGCTAATAACTACAGCTCTGGTTTTCTTTTTGTTGACATGATCAATAACATGTAGCACCCGCCTAATATTATCTTGTGTTTGCCTATCCCTTATAAATCCGGTTTGGTCTAGGTCGACCAATTCTGGTATTATATCTTCCAATCTTTTAGCTAGTATTGATGCATATAATTTATAATCCATGTTTAATACAGAAATTAGTCTAAAAGAACTACACTCCGTCTTATCTTTACCCTCTTTAGGAATAATCGAAATGATTGCCTCACTCCATGTTCTTGGTGGTTCACCATCTTTATGCATGTAGTTAAAACACTTGTTAAGCATGGGGATTAACTGGTCTTTGAAGACCTTGTACCACTCAACTGGGAAGCCATCTGAGCCAGGTGTTTTATTTACTTTTAATCTTGAAATTGCTTTCCCTATTTCCTCTTTTGTGATCTCTGCCATTAGGGATTTATTCTGTGTTGTGCCTATAGAGGGTAAGTCTAATGATTCTAAGAAGATATTTATTTCAGTGGGATTAGTTGTACTTATTTCACTATATAGATTTCTGTAGTAGGTTTCAAAAATGTTATGGATATCATCTTGGTTGTGTTTAATTCTATTAGTTATAGGGTCTCTAATTTCCGATATAGTCCGCTCCGCCTGCTGTTTTCTAAGCCTCCATGCCAATAACTTCAAAGCCTTTGGGCCGGTTTTATAAAATCTTTGCTTAGTAAATTTGGCTTTTTTCTCTATTTCTTCCTCATATAATGTATTTATTTGCTTCTTAATATTTTTTATTTGGCTTAAAATATGAGGTTTCTTTTCCATAATATGTTCTCTCTCTAAGGTCTTAAGGTTCTCCTGCAAGTCAAACATCTTTTTACATTTTTCCTTTTTCTTATGTGAAGTAAGAGCTATGAGTTTACCCCTAATCACTGATTTTGATGCATCCCATAAGACACTCGGTGATACTTCCCCATTGTTATTGTTATCGATATAATCCTTTATTTCCTTTTGAATACATTCTTTGTATGTACTATCATTCAGTATACTTGTATTAAGCCGCCACAGTGAGTTGTTCTTTATATTATCTAAATGTATAGTTAGGTAAACAGGTGAGTGGTCAGAGATATCTCTGGTTCCTATCTTGCAGTCTATTAGCCTGTGTCTGTCTGAAAAAAAACAAAGAAGTAATCAATTCTTGAATAGGAAGTTTGGCTTGCGGAATAGAATGTGAACTGCTTATCTAGTGGATGGAGCTCCCTCCATACATCTATCAATCCCAGTTTCATCAACAGTTTTTTAGTTACCCTTGCTCTAGGGGTTAGCCTCCTTAATGTATTAGTGGAATCAAGCTTAGGTTGCATCTGGGCATTCCAGTCTCCTCCACATATCAAAACTCCTGATGCCTCAGAAGCTATTAATTGAAAAACTTCCCTTATGCAGAAGTTGTCTTGCTCAGGGGGTATATACACATTAATTAACGTAACTTCTTTTTGATCTAAGAGACCCTTAACAAGAACATATCGACCCTCTTTGTCTGTAAATTCAGCAAGCAGGCGGAAGTTCACACAGTTAGAGATTAATATTGCTACCCCTCTTCGTTTTCCCTTCCTGTAAGATGAATAAAATACGTTCTTAAACCCTTTTTGTTTTAATTTTTCGTGTTCTAGATTATTAAGATGCGTCTCCTGCATAAATATAACATGCAACTTTTCCTTTTTCATCTTTGCGATAACCTTGCTTCTTTTGATTGGATTGTATAAACCATTTACATTAAGGGTAATCACCCTATATTCCTGAAACTGCATGTGATCATGTTATAAAACACTTTCTGTAAGGTATATGTTATTGGTGACCTAGTCTGAACTACATATGAACTATATACAATAAAATAAGAACCCTTGACTTTACAGTCGGAAATAACAGCTAAACAGAATGCATAGAGAGACCTCCATTCGAAGTAACAAACAGTTCTTACTTCTTATTGTAGGGGAATAGTCTAGATAAATACCAGAGCCCCTCTTCAGTGCAGCCTTAAGTGCCCTTTAGGGTATTCTGCGTGCAATAAAAAAAAAAAATATATATATATATATATATATATATATATATATATATATATATATATATATATATATATATATATATATATATATATATATATATATATATATATATATATATATATGTTCCCGTGTTTGTCGGTCAACTACGTTATTTACTAAGGGCGATTTTACCTGTTGCAGATCAACAGAAAAATAATTGAGGTAAGTAGGATAACAGCAACAGCCTACATGAGATAACAGTCTTAGAGTAGTAACGTTAGGGGGAAGAAAAAAAAGAATTCAGTCTTACTCCATCCCGTTGCGGGTGTTCGCAGCTGTCGCCTGGCACACACTAAAATGTCCATAACAAACAGCTGGTTCCTTCACCAACTGTATAGTTTACAGTCATTTGTCACTCGTATCTAACAAACCATAAACCTTTAAATTTATCTTGGTCGGCGAAAAATTCCGGAGCCTCACTTTAATCCAATCCTGACAGGTCTGCCAGTTTGTCGTATTCGTGGAGCGTTGCCAGCCGGTCGTCCGCGCTTTGCTCAAAACCTCATCTTCTGAAGATGTCTCGCGGCCGAACTGGAAGCCCCTTTTCTTCATGTCCTCGGTCGCTTCGTCTGCGCTTCCATAGGTGATCGGCCCACCGTCAAAGAAAACTCGCAGTTTTGCTGGCGGCGGTGTTTGGGTCTTTGTGTATCCTCCTGATCTGAGAGTATGCCTTTCTTTTCGCCAAGGTTTCAGCAGGGTAGTCATGATCAAAATAGATCCTGCTGTTGTTGTGAAAGATTTCCTTTTTCTTCCACGCAGTGTGCAGAACCATTTCCTTAACTTTGAATTCTTGAAAGTACACAATCACCGATCTTGAGTCTTGGTCAGAGCGCTCTGTGGCATCTTTGAATCCTGAGTTCAATATCAGCGAGGTCCAGTTCTTTTTTAATAAGATTATCAATGAATTGGTACATGTTGTTATTTTCAGCGCCTTCCGAGATCCCGTAAATGCTAACATTATTACGTCTCGAGCGTGCCTCCAGGTCCGTTAACTTCATCTGCATTTTTTTCTGGGCTTGTAGTGACTGGCTCAGAGCTTCTCTGAAGTCCGTGGACCACTCCTCGGCTTCGGCGATGCGGGCCTCGGCCTCACTAACTCTGTCAGTTGTAGTTTTTAGATTGGTTGTGATTTCGTTTAGCGTCTGATAAATTTCCTTTCGAAAGTCCACTAATTCTCTTTTCAGATCGTCTCGGAAGTTGTTTAGCTCTGACTTCATCTCCAAGGCCATCATCTTTATATCTGCGCGGATGGCCGCGACGCTATCATCCACTGTTGCTAATTTTAGATTTTCCTCTTGTCCGCCATTACGGTCTCCTTGTTCCTCAGCCACGGCGGTATCCTCTAAATTACTACCTTTATCCGCTTTCCCGAGCTGTTTTCCTTTGCCCTTTTTGATCTTCTCCCCTTCCGTCATTAAATTCGATCAATAACTAAGTTTTAATTGTATTGTTTGGGGAATTAATCTCCGACCGAACGGGAGACAAAAAGTTAAGCGGCCATGCGCTTCAGTTAACTGCCGGAAGTCCCCAAAAAGTTTTGTACTTTGTGTTTTAAATTGGTTTGGAGTAAATCTTTGTTACAGTTAAATATCATTCTTTTTCCTTTCAGCTTAGTCCCTTTATGCAACAGCGGAATAAACCCCCAACTTATCCTGTTAAATAATGCAAGAATAAGCTATGACATAAAATTAATATGACATTTAATCAAATTATTTTTTTATTATTATTTAAGTTACTTTTTTATTATTCTGTTAAAGTTTCTTTATGACACAACAAAAACTCTTATTTTGCATTTTAAAAAACTTGTCATAAAACTTATTTAAAAAATTATACTGAACTTTTATCACATGCAGTATCAGCAAATGTGCACATTATCTACAATTTTTTTTGCATTTTTGAATCAAATGACGCAACGAAATCTCGTTTACAGAAATTTGTTTACTTTTGTGGTTTGATGATACGCGCTCCGAATGACCGAGTCACTTGTTTTAAACAAACGATTCGCAAAGATTTCAAAGCTTTACGAAGCAGTAAGGAACCGATTCAGTGATTCGCGATTCAAACATTACAAGAGAACAAACAGTCCGTCAGACCGGTGAGGGGAATGAGATGAGGTGAGGAAACAGTACCTATTAGTGCCTTATTTTGGTCATTGTAGCCATGTCTAAAACTAGAGGAGAACAGTGCCGTTGAATCAGTTTATGCGGACGTTGTTATGTTGGCTAATAAATTTAATGTACCTTGAGCTATGGATTAGCTGATAAGCTAGTTAGCTTCAAAGCTAATACTCTTTTTATTAAACCTTGCTAGACCAAGATATCCAATTGTACCAACAATAGAGTAATTTGAATTTATTTTATAGTACACGCAGAATATCAGTGTTATTTTGCTAAAAATAAGACTTAAAACAATCACGTTAAATGTTAAATATCTCGACAGGCTGCATGCCTTCATTATTTAATGCATTCATTATGAAATGTAACGTTTTCGTTTAGATTCTTTTTCTTAGTAAACCTGTAACGGGTTGACTTTCTCCCCACTGTTTGAAGGTTTACACGTTGTTTTTAAGAGCGTCTTTGAGTAAATAAATATTTATGTAAGTAACAGTTACATATGTGTACACCTAACTCTGGTGACCATTTAATTAACAATTTGTTGTCATAGTCATGAAATATCATGGAGTCATCATTCACTGATCTGTGCTTAGTCATTTTTATATTTATGAAATACTGCCATTACATCTGCTTTTATAAATAAACAGAACCTTGGTGTACTGAATAATTTACCTCAAAATTATAATAAATAGTTAATTCACACTTACGCACAGGCCATTAAATATGTAGTTGAATATGTAATATGTAGTTTTTATTCATTTATTTATTTAGTCAGCAGAACGTTAAAGAAGATTTTTAGCTTAAATCATGGTCCTTGGTAATTTATACTATACAAGTTACAGTCTACCAGCAATTTTAGAGACAAAACGGTTTGTGGTTAAAACAAAATAAAAAGCACATTGTAGTCCTGTGAAGTCTGTGCAAAAAACATAACTTTTATTTATGCATTTCTCTTTTTTACAATTTTATGACTTTTAATCCACATCATAAGCTCATTGGCCTCTTCTTAATTAAAAAAAGAAAATCACTGAACATACTTTTATTAAGGTTTGTTTTTGATAATGTTATATATATTTTTTTACTTTTTAGAAAATTATAACAACATTGTCCTAATATTCCCTTTTAGTGAATTGTTAAAAAAGACAACTTTTTTTTTCTTTTTTGCTTTTACATTATTATGCTTGACAAATCTTTCCAATATCTAAAATACCACCAGCAATTATTTAATAAAAAAACATTTATAACGTTTATAAATAATTGAAATGAAATGGGCATTGCTTTTTAAATAATGCGAGTGTGTGTTTTTATTAAAGAATGCATGTACTGGAGAATTATCAGAAAGATTGTGGAAAAGTGTGTTCAGATTAGAGACATATTAAAGAAACCGAATAAACCCACAGGTTTGATCCCTGTTTAAATTTCCCTCTACATTTAACACTTGTAATATTTTTTTTCACTATACAATTGGATTAATATAATCAATAGAACATGTTTTGACTACATTTTGCAGCTAATTATGTGAACATATAGAATCGTTTGTAGGCCTGTCACAATATCTGTTTTTTGTTGTACGATATATTGCACCAAAATATATTGCGATAGACAATATTATTGTAATTTTAAGACCATTTTATGCCACTCATTATATAATAGCAGAATGACCATATAATATTATCACAATACACTCTTCCTAAGAACACATAATATTTTTAAGAATATTTCAATTAATTACAATCATTTTAACAATTTAATAATGAGGCATTAGAATCAGAATGTGAAAAACTAAATAAACTTAAATTAAATAATAAATGTTAACAAAAAAGTGCAAGGTAACAAGTAATAGAGGCTGCGATATCTGCTACCAGATCTACTTTCAATTGTCAGGCTCTCACTTGAAAATATACTTGGGTAATTTGCAGTAAATTGAGTAATATTTATTTAACCATACTAACAATAGAGATGTTGCAAAATCAGTTAAAATGTTGCTAGAATTGCTTTGTATGTATGAGCGATATACACTCACCGGTCACTTTTTTTAGGTACACCTGTCCAACTGCTCATTTCTAATCAGCCAATCACATGGCAGCAACTCATTTAGCCACGTAGACATGGTCAAGATGATCTGCTGCAGTTCAAACTGAGCATCAGAATGGGGAAGAAAGTTGATTTAAGTGAATTTGAATGTGGCATGGTTGTTGGTGCCAGAGGGCTGGTTTGAGTATTTCAGAAACTGCTCATCTACTGGGATTTTCACACACAACCATCTTTAGGGTTTACAAAGAGTGGTCCAAAAAAGAAAGGCAACAGTAACCACTTGTTACAACCGAGGTATGCCGAAGAGCATCTCTGAATGTGCAACATGTCCAACCTTGAGGGCAGATGGGCTACAGCAGCAGAAGACCACACTGGATGCCAATCCTTGTTGAATGTATGACTCGATACATTAAGACAGTTCTAAAGGCATAAGGGGGTCCCACCTGGTATTAGTAAGATGTACCTAATGAAGTGTCCGGTGAGTGTATATTGCACCAAAAATGATTGAGGTCATGTATATGTGTTGTGCGGTAGGTCGATACATTGAATATTGTGACAGCCCTAATTGTTAGGTTAGTTCACACGGTTATAAACAACCCTACAAATGACCCGTAGAATTTCTAGAAAATGATTAGGTTGTAAAACTACAAGTGAACATTCTATTATTTAATGATTTTTGATAAGGTTATTTTTTGGGTAATTTAAAATTATTCCCCCTGCAAAGTTCTGGGAATTCATTGTTTTGTTGCAATATTAGCATTCTGTATAGGTTATTTTAAGCTATTCAAAATAACCTTGCTGCAATAGTCTGAGATAATCAACCTGCAACATTCCATGGATGTTATTTGTTTGTAAATTTTCAAAAATAATTAAACAGAAGCTAAAAACAAGCATTATTGGAACATGTCTGCTGGTGTGTATAGAAAAGTAATTTTAATTTGACTGTGTGTGTATATATATATATTTTTATTTATTTATTTATTTATTTATTTATTTATTTATTTTCTGCCCAAAGCCACCGAGTTGCATTTTATGAACCACCAAGAACCAATGTTTCAGCTTAAAATCTTCAATAGAAAAAAGTCGCCTATATCATTAGTAAATCAATGGCATTTTAACATTATGGGCTCTATCATACACCCGGCGCAGTGTGGCGCAATACGCGGCGCAAAAGTCTTTTGGTAGTTTCAGCTTGGCGCAAGAGTGGTTTTGAGGCATTGCGCTACGCTGTTTAAATAGCAAATGCATTAGCGCTCATTTGTGCGCCCATAGGCGTTCTGGTCTAAAAAGGAAGGCGTTCTAAAGTGGACCGCTGGCGCGTTGCTATTTTGAGAAACTATAATAGATTTTTCATTAGACCAAAACTAACCTGGTCTAAACTCTGCGCATCGCTTACGCACTGCTTAATACGCACAAGAGAGCAATAGGCAAATATCTTTACATATGAAAAAAATTAAATATTAAGGATATATATAGGATATAATAAGAATAGATATAGGATAAATATAAAGGATTAAAATATTACATATTATTTTCTAGCATACATAAATATGAATAAATCACTGCTTTTATGTCTTCTTCATCTCGGGAGGCTTTTTCAGTTCATTCATAACAATTTGCTTTTGTATAATGTTATTATTATTAGCAGTATTATTTATCATATCCATATTTATATTTGTTTTTATTAAAAACAAGCTTAGATTTGCCCACCTGCCAGGTTTTAGACCATATGGGGCATGGCAGGTGTATTTGGAAATAACTCAGTATTTTGACCACACTTGGTCATTATTGTTCATTTATTCGTTTGCTAGAAATTAGAACTGAATTTAGAAATAGTTTTGAAACAAATCTTTGCACTTAACAAACGAAATTAATTATTTATAGACTAATTGATGTCTGTGCATACAGGTTTCCCTATCCAAGAGCGAAAGTGAAAGTAGATCATTTATCTTTCATTCTCACGCAGTAGATGCTCTGTTTAACAGTTTTCTGTTAAAAAACTGTCAACTGTTAACTGTTTGCTTGTGAAATGCCCATTTTTTTCCACGTAGACTTATATTGCGTCCCGTCAATAGCGAATGCACTTTTGGCGTGATGCAGCTGGGTCTTAAAGGGAATGGGAGATGAGACTCTAATTGGTTTATTCTCAAAACACACCTATAACTCATTGAGAAAATAAACTCAACCCTTTTAGACCATGCGCCTTGGCGCAAGACAGATTTCCCATCCTTAAATTAGCAAAAACGGGTCCTGGCCCGCCCTGAAAGCATTTGCGCCCTGCGTTTTGCGCTCTGCGCATGGACCGTCAAAATAGAGCCCCATATGTTTATTGTCTGCTTTCATTGGAATCTGCTTTTGTCTTCCAGTACATCAGGTTTCTGACCCCTCCATGGAAGAGGCCAGCGATGAGGGGCTTTTACTCCAAGCTGGACTCCTCATCTATAGGTATGGCTGTGCCTCTGAATCTGGCCGTGGAGACAGAGAAAGCGCAGGCGCTCCTCCAGACCTTCAGCACTGCCTCTCTGTTCGCCAGCGCAGGCCTAGGCGCTTTCTGTTTCGTCGCTGACCACTTCCTGACGCTACCCTTCATCCAGCATCATCTGTGGCTCAGGGCTCTTTTCGATAACACTGTCCACGCCATCATTGGTCTGTGGTCTTGGGCCATCGTGATCGGCTTGAGGAAGAAAAGTGACTTCTATGAAGTCATCCTGGCCGGGTTTCTGGCCTCGGTCATTGACCTGGACCACTTCTACATGGCTGGATCATTGTCAATCAAAGTGAGTCCTCTTTGTTTATTTTATTAGCACAATATGAAATATTAAGATTATCGTCAAGAGAAATGTCTTCTTTTATTTTAAAATTTAACAAATTCAGGAAAGGTAAAAACAAAACAAGCCTGGTCTATTGTATTTATTCTACTTGTTAAAGCGGGTGCTGCCTTTGTATAATTTTTGGCTCGAGACTTCTAGTCTCATTCACTTCCATTAATTTTAAACGTTAAAAACAGCCCGTTATGCTGCTTGATAGTCCTAGGCGATTAATCGAAATCGAAATAGCTTCAAAATTCAGAAGTTATAATCAATCTAATTTGTCAAGGTAAATTTTTTCAATTACTTTCCCTACCGCGTTGCGGAGTCACGTGACCCCGCTATGTTAAGCCTTTATTTATACTTCTGTGGCAACTGTGGATCTGTTGAATTAGGACAATGGACCCATTCTTGAGCCTTACTTTGCACTTCATTGATGCTGATTTGAAGCTGTTCAAGAGATGCCTCGAGATGGCATATTTTCTATTACATTAAACTTATTATTTACATCAAAATATATGTTTACAGAAGATTCAAGAAATGCATGTTTAAAATATTATTTACAGGATATGCAAGATATATTTTATTAAGAAGAAATTCTGCTTATTTTCTACTATTAATATGAAAAACATTCAAAATAATTTAATTTTGTTTCCAAAAGTGCAAGTCAGTTTTTTATAAGAAAAAAGTGACTGTTCATTTTAGGCAATGTGTGTTTCATTTTCAGTTGTTCAATGTTTACATTCAATAAATAGTCATAGTGTGCGTTTCTTTCAATTATTTTAAAAATAAGTAATGCACCCTTCATTCAGAAATCTCTCACTTGCCTTGTAATATGTGAACATATTTATTGTACAAAACCTATCAGTGAACTATGAGGGCAAAAAATATTTATGTAAAAAGATATTAACTGTTAATTTATCGTAATCGAGTTAAACTGTTCAATTATTCATGATTTTGATTTTAGACCAAATCATCCAGCCCTACTGCTTGATTTTGCAAACTGAGCTTTTCTTATTATATTATTCTACTATTTATGTTTTATGCCTTGAACACACTTGTTTGTAGAGATAGTAGTTTTACTGTTTTTTGCTATTTATTATTCCTAGTAATTTCTCTCAATGGAAACTGAATCAAAAGTACTAAAACTATCACAAAAAAGAGTCCATTACCACATTGCAGAATAAGGTCAATAGTATTACATATTGTACAGTATATGCAATAATATGAATCATCAAAAGAAAAAAAAAAGGAATGATTTTGCTCGATGTATCTTAGTTATTGACCGATTAAAAATGTATTTATTAATTAAGTCTGAAATTAATTATGTGAATCTGGACATGCTTAATTGATTTGAATAAAAATGACAATGTCATGAAAACATGCTAATTAAATTTGTTATACGAGGTTCAACAAAAAATAGATGTTCAAACTAGTGCTGGCCAACAGCTTATTATTGTTATTATTATTATTAATATTTTAAACCACAATTTATCGCATAATTGTCTGGGATTAATCATAAATAATCGCATTGGTATACACAAAAATCAATAATGATTTCAAAAAAAGTGTATTAAGCACTTTTATTTTAAAAGTACTGCGTAAGTGTATAAACAAGTAGAAAAACATATTTTAACTATTAAAACGTTATAGGAATATGTATTTAAATCTCAACATAAATAGTGTACTCAAGTTAAATTTACAACCAGAGATATTTGCCGCTGTCAGGACATTACAATTTTGCCTACTTTGTAATGGACATTAAGTTATGGTCAGAATTATCGGGCTTGAACACAACATTATAACAGGACACCTGCAAACAACATCTACTTAGCATTCACATTTTATTTTATCAGGAAACAACATAAATAGTCTATTCTCTAGCAAGTGTTACTGTTTAGAGTGAGGGTAAATGTTTGAAAGCAACTACAAAGTTTAAATGTGCACAGGTACTTAATTTCCTTTGGATAATCTTGGCCACTTCACATCCACATCACCTTCTGGGAAGTAAATATTTTCTGATAATTTGACTATTTTTTTGTTCCATCATGCATCTGAATAAAACGGGCATGTTTTTTATGTATCTGTGCACATGAAAAATGCTACTGATCATTTTTAGAAATATCATAAAAACATTTGCATTTTAATCAATATTCTATCTTGTGGATTGATTTGAATCGAAACCCATACCTGGCTTCTTTTTGCATATATAACATATAATGTTTATTTTTCTCTGCTAATAAGTGTGGTCTGTTTTTGTCAGGCTGCTGTGAATCTGCCACACAGGCCTCCTCTGCACTGCTCTACCTTGATCCCAGCGCTCTGCTTCTCTCTGCGCCTCCTCATGTGGGCCTGCCGGCTCAAAGACTCCTGGTGCTCTCTGCCCTGGATGCTTTTCATCTCGCTGACATCGCACCACATCCGGGACGGGGTTCGCCACGGCCTCTGGGTCTGTCCATTCGGCAACACAGCACCAATCTCATACTGGCTGTACGTAACCATTACAGCCACACTCCCTCATCTGTGCTCAGTGCTCATGTATCTGACCGGCACCAGAGACATGATCTCCACCAAACACGGCGTCGCTATTGACGTCTGAGACAATCTATTTCGCTTCCTTTCTTTACTTTTCCCTGCAAAACGTGAAGCTGGAAATATCGCCGTTGGCTCTGCATCTTTGCCATTCCTACTTTATTCCTTCTTGAGAAATTGTGTCAGTGTGTTTGATACTTCTGACTGCTGTAGACGTTCAGGTATCAGTGTGAAATCAGGTTACGTCGACTGTGGAGACTGTGAATAGTTTGGTGCGGTGTAGTTCAGGGTTGGGTGATAAATCTTTTCAGTATGAATGTCTGTGTTCCTAATAGTTAATAATTTATTACATTTTGTCACTAATACAATAGTAAATAGCACTATTTGAGTGATAAGTAAATAGATTGTTTATTGTTTTGAATCAGTATAGGTAATAGTAAAGGTGTGGTCACTGGTGAAATGTTGGGATAATCTTGCCATTACTTGAAATTTCCAAGTGTAGAGATTTCTGTTGAAATAACCAGATTTTACCAATGGAAATTTGCAGAACAATATGTCTGAACCATAACAGTTTTTCTTCTGAAGGTATATAACTGTATAGATGACAATATTAGCGTCCTTGTCAATGCAACGGCAACATTCTTTTTATAAAAAATGATACTCTGCAAGTTTATTGTTTGCATTCTTAAGTGTTTGCACTCTTTTAAAACAGAATAGATTCTGATTGACTAAAATTTGTTTTAATCAAAATTGTATTGCAATGTCATGCCGAATGCAGTTTTTGCATTCATAAGCACCTTTTCTAAATGTTTTCTATTGGCAGCGAGTATTTTGCACCTCGCATTTTAACTGTCTGCTGCACCTTGCATTTTAATGGGTTGTTTGGTGTGCCTGCAGATAAAAACATCAACTCTGTGCTGAAAAATGCCTGACTCCAGCACCAAGAACATTGATATACAGTAGTTGCCTAACAACATATGAAGCGCAGCACAATGCTCTTTTCTAAAATCAGCAAATAGGTCGTACAGTTTGCCTTGTGTTTTCAGAAATGTTTTCACTTTATTTATTTATTTATTTATTTATTGTTTTACTATATTTTCATCATAATCATAAGTTATCATATTCGGTATAAAAGAACATTTATAATAGCTACTTTTAATAGCTATTTTAATAGCTAATAAAAGTAGTTTTTAATTACATGACAGTTTTCTACTAAAAACAGAAAACTTTTTACTTAACATTTTGCCCATTAATTTACACTTTTGTGGCCTAAAAAATTACTTTTGAAAACAGGTTTCACGAAGTATGTTTTTAAATCTGATACTGATATCTTTATTCTAACTGTGTAAATGACAAAAATCCAAATTAGTTAAAGCCACATTCATAACAAGAACGGTGGACTACATATTTATATTTGCGTGTGAATGTGTAGTGTTTTTACTTATTTATCGCCAACTACTGGTTTGACATGCAAAGTACAGCAATATTTAGTTAATTTTGTGTATCCATGTGAATGGGTAACTTTTTGACAACTCCTGGAAAACAGATATCTTTGTTGTGTAAACATTAACTAAAATGTGACAAAAGTGTCTCCTGAAAGATTGTGTGAATGTTCAATATTATCACCCAGCCCTGGTGTAGATGGTTCGTAAACACCCTTACAAACCTTATTTAAAAGCTTCAGCATAGTGTTGTCATGTTTAGCTTATAGTGTTATAGACTTGTCTACCCAAATAATGCATTTATTTTTTTGAAGGAATCAGACACTAGAATAATTCTAAGACTTACAATGTAACACATGTTCAGGGATATATGCTCTGAATGGTGAGTAATGATGGTGTTTGTGCTTGTGAAGCTGAGGCTGTGTTTATTTGTCTGCAACATCTCTAGGATTTCTTGAAGGAATTGAGTCTCTTTAGTGTTTTGGAGTGTTTGAACTGCACCGCTAGTTTGTAATGGAAAGTGTTTAGGGACCGTATAAACAATGCTGTTGTTGCAGACGATTACTGTTGCCTTTTTAGCCACAGGCATTGGAATAACTGTAAATATGATGTGTCGACTTTCCAAACACATATAATTTATAGTTATTTAGTTAGAGCTGTTATTAAGTGTCTTTGTGTATGCATCACATCTAAGGTTCATTTTGGTTGAATTTAAATGGGACTAAATACTCACCGTGACGTGTTTTCAGATTTAATTATTAGTCCAACATTGCTTAATGTTAGGTTTTACAGTGTAGAGCATAGTGTTTATACTATTCATAGCAATGCATTCTATATGTATTTTAACAGTCAGATGTTTTGGATCAGCTCAGTTGTTCTTGGCTATTTTTCAACTTTTATTTTGTACTCCAAAAATGCTATAGATTTGTATAGATTTATCATGTTTTGTTTGGTCAAGACATTAATTTGAATTTTGAAAGTATATATATATATATATATTATTATATATATAGTATATTATTTTTTTTTTGCTGGGATAAGCACCTTTTTAAAATGGTGTTCTATTGGTGGTAAGCATTCTGCATTCTAAAAACACAGGTCCACAAAATAGTTTTTTCCTGAGCTGAGCATTTTTTTTATATTGTTCTCAGTGGAAGTGTCACACTTTTTAAAATGGCTACAGCATATCAATGCACTCAGTGTGTGTTTAACACAAAGCACAGAGCACCCAATAGTTTTTTAAAAGCTTTGGCAGTTGGAGAAGCACTCAAAGATGAGCATCTTTAGAAAAATGCTACCGTTTTTTAGCTGCTCAAAAAAACCAATTGATATGGGCCTAAGCAATTGAATGATGTCAAGTTTGTGTGGTAAAAGAACCTGTAATTACATGCTCCTGCACCAATATCCTTGATACAGTGGTTGCTTAGCAACATAAAAAGTGCAGTGCACTTCTCCTTTAAGATATGTGTCCACCAAAGCATTTTTGTGCAGCTAAAAATGTCATAATTATTTCCAAAAATGCTCAGCTGATGGCTTCTTTAACTGTCAGAGCATTTTAAAAAACACTGAGCGCTCAACTCCTCATTATGCTGCTGCCGTTATTTTCATTGACAACAGAGAAAATGGCTGGTTAATAAAATGAACACTTTGGTGGACATGTATCCCTAAAGTCCATGTGTTATCCTTTAGGTCACAGGTGTCAAAGACAGTTACTGGAGGGTTGCAGCTCTGCACAGTTTAGTTCCAACCCTGCCTCAACATACTAAAGCTGCGGTCACACTAGAGTTTGTGTGTGTGAAATTCTGTCATACAGCGATGCGAAACGGTGCGGGATTAGACAATAAAAAAAGCGAGCGATTGCTCCATGTTTTAAATTTCTGTCCAGAGAGGTCATGTTTTGATCCTCGATTGGTCTCACGCTGTCAAGTGATGCGTTTTCGCAGGTCAGAGTTTACCAAGCTTGAATACCAAGCTTTATACCGCAGCAACCTGCGAAACTTGACGCATGACACTGCGTTTCCGGTCTGACGCATTCGCGTGCGCATGAATGGAAGTCTATCGGGAGATAAGTCAGGTGTGGCCGCAGCTTTACCTGGAGGTTTCAAACAAGCCTGATGGGCTCAATTAGTTTGATCAGGTGAGCTTAATTAGGGTTGAAACTGGGCTGTGCAGAGCCCTCCAGGAACTAGGTTTGGTGCTTAAGGTGAACAATTTAGTTATTTTTTACTTATTTGTTCAGTGAAAAGTTATTCTTAAGCAAGTTAGTCCATAGAAAAAAAAGGTAAACTGATTTAATAATCTTTAAGCAAAGTCCTTGCTTCTCCATTATGGAGTGGCGGTCCTTCTTTGTTGATGTCAGTTTGACTGCTTTCGCCACAATATTCTTAACCTCGCCCCTCTTACCGTTACTTTTTTATGAGGGAATGATGTGCAAAGTGATAGCTCATTCCCACTCAAAATTTAGTTAAGGTGTCAAGCACATCAATATAATGAAGTAAAAGTCTCAGCAACTTTACGGTTATGCAGGCTTTAAATTCAACAAAAAGGCTGTGCGGATCCAATCTGAAAAGTGTGTTGTGTTCAGTTTGATTAGTAGTCACAGCCAAGTGGTTTTACCTTTGAGTTTCTTCTTTTGATCAAAAAATACTGTAAGTCAATAAGAGTTTTTCCCCCTGACATTTTTCAGTTTTTCAACAGTATGGGTGAGTATGGGTGAACTGTCCCTTAAGATGGCCACAGTTTGTAAGAAAATATGAAACACATTTTAAATAATTTAAATATTTTAGAGGCATAGGTTGTTATCCAAACTTTTGACTGTTGGTGTATATATAAAGCAGTATAGTCTTTATTCACTCATTACTATTATTCATTGTTTACTGGATCAGGAAGAACATTTATTAGCTTTACTTCATCCTGAACTACAGCAGTGGAAACGTGTGTGTTTATGCTTTTACTTATTCATTATGGCGTCAAGGGAAATTATGTTTTAATAATTTGTATTTTTATTTATTTTTTTTGCTTTGGTGATAAATGCTTTAATCAGTTTTCATTGCCTTGTCAAACCTGCAGAGGGAGCTGTAGACCAACTCCAGCCAATGCTTTTTGTGATCCTTTATATATTATGCTCATTTTGTTTTTGTATTGATTTATTTATTTTATGTTTATGTAAGTGATGTATATATTAATTTTATTTATATGCCTTTTTTGCACATAATTTATATTTGTCAATAATGTGTTGTTGATGTGCATTGTCAGGAAGAGACAAAGCATTATTTATTTCTGAAAATTGCCACAAATCACACTAAAGCTGCAAATGCAGCCTTCTGTTATAATCGACTTCTGTCTTTATTTCTGTTGCTGATTGCCTTCTTTCCATTTTAATTGACTTTAAGTGCTTGCTCAGTTATTCTGTTGTGTTGTTGTCAGGCGTTCGTTCATCACCTTAGTCAAGATAACAAGAATAAGAGACGGCACCCTTAAGAGGGTTATTCTCACGAAACCCTTAGAGCAAAATGGCACTTGAGATTTTAAATATAAAACTTAGTAATTTGTTAATTAAAAAAAAAAAAACATAATAAAGACAACGCTGTTCTCCACGAAGCACAAAGTGAAATTTCAACATTCTTTATTTTTAATCATTTTACTGCATTTTCTACTTAAATTCTCATTATTGAAACGTGTCCATGTACGTTTAAATGTGTGTTTTGTTGTAATTTAAACAAATTAGCATAAACATTTTAGAATAAAAACAAATGAATTGTTTAAATAAATTATCTTACATGACAGAACAAATAGTTTACAGAATATTCATGTATAACGACAATTATAAAAAACTGAAAAATGATGTGTCTTTGACGGATATTCTCATCCTCCGCAACCACTTTAAAGTACTGTTTAAACACACATAAAGAGTTTAAATAAAGTTTAATTTTTTTATAAAGGAGCACATGGGCCAGTTGGCTGCCAGGAAAGAAGATCTTTTATATTTCTCCAGTTTAATGTAAAATTTTCTCCTGCCAAAATGGTTACACGACTTTTTTATTATCATTACCGAAACAGGTAGCTTTCTTTTATGGAGATCCCATTGAACCATGTAAGATGTCACAACAAGATGTTGATGGCGAAATACTTACAAGAGAACATTTCAACCAAATGTTTTCATGAGTTCTCGAAATTTATCCACACAATTCATTTGATATATTATTATATTAATTTATTTAAA